CGGCGCGTCCCCCCCCACGCCCCCGCCCCCGGCCGCGGCGGAACCCCGCGGGCCCCCCCGGTTCGCGGGAAGGACGCTGCGCGTCTCGGGGAACCTGTGCGAGGGGATGTGTCAAGGAGTCGTCTTTCTCGAGACCGCCTCTTAATTGGCAAACACGTCTTCATTAATTTTACCTCAATGTCATGATGTCACAGCCAGCGGTACCAGCCCCAAGCTAAATAAGCAATAAGCCTCATTTTTCAACACACAAACACATAAAGATGTCAGCTCAAACTGTTTACTAATTAACACTTAAAAAGACACAAATTAGATATGCGTGGCTAAGAGCAATTATAATCAAGACGAATTTCTCTAGTCATTTGGGAACTGAAAAAAAAGCCTAATTGCTGGAACCAATGTTTTAAAAACTGAAATCATGCCAGTTAGCAAATATGTTCATTTAAAGAACATTTCATGTGACTACACTCTGGAGAATTGACTACAAACATGAGAACAAGGAAAAAGATTTCTGTATAAAATTAAAATTTTAAGCTCTTTTAGATTTACAACTTCTTCGTTAAATATATTTGCAAAGAGCAGCCCATGAAAACTTGTAGCAATTAAGTGGTTAAATGAACTGCCTTCCTTGTCAGTTTAAAAGGAATGATTAATATTAGAAGCTCACTTTACTAATTAGACCCTCTCCAGACTTTTCGCTCAATGCCAAGCTAAAACGAAGACGGGGTGCACTCTGCCAGCGCCCCGCCAGCGCAGGAGGCCCACAGTAGCCCGACAGCTGATCGCGCTGCTGACACCCACGTGGCACAGCAGCACCCGCTGCCGCCGCCGGAGCCGAGAACGGTCTCGGCACCTTTGCCACCACCTGCACCACCTGCCCGCTCGGTGACGTTCCCCTACCCAGGACAGGCAGGAGCCGCGAGGACAAACTCCCTGCAGCCCCGTAGGGAAAGCCAGCAGCAGCACTGCCAGGGCTCTGCTCCTCTCCACCCTACATCCACCAAAGCAGCCGTGGGCAAACGGCGCCCTCGGCTTAAATCCGCCTTCACCCACTGGGCTTCACCGCCTCTTCATACGCCACTTCTTCATACGCTCCTCAGGGCACGGCTGTGCAGTCCTGCTGCAATGGGATGCTGACTTCAGGTGCAGCCTGAGTGTGCAGTACAGGGTTTGCGCCTATTTTCATCACTTTTCCTGAAAGGGTGGAGTCCTTTCATTCAGCTCGCCTCACGGCTTGGAGGATGGGTGCATACATCTGCAAATGTGGTGACAGAGAACAATAACTCTTGGAATTCTCTGGGAATATTTTTTGCAAGGCATCTAGCTCCAGGGAAAATGTTCTTGCTGCTTTGGAAATCCAGAAGATTTGCTGTAATGGTGCTATTGCTTGCAAGGGAAATAAAGCCATGCAGAAATTCACAATATTTATATGCATAGCTATCTATGTGCAGACAAGATGCTTCATCAAGGAATACGGGCTGCATAATTATACTTTTCATTACTGTGAAATGCACACAGCCTGTAACGGAACAGGAGGGCGTGGGGAGAGCCAGCAGGTACCAACCTCTCCTCCCCAGGCCACACAAACAACTCCGGTACTGGTGTCCCCGCACTCCACAGGCCTGCAAGGGGCACAGGACAGGGCTGCACAGCCCACCCCTCCGGGCAGCGCCCAAGCTGCCAAGACCTCTCCCGCACCAGGCGACATGCAGCAGGCTGCAGAAGCAAATCCAATGCTACTTCGCTTGACCTCCAGCAAAAGGGACCTGTGGCCCCGCGGCCAGCTCCTGGCGAAGAGTGGGGGGAAGGAGGCAGGCACATGTCGGGGCCACCAGCTCTGCGCACACCTGCATCCCAGCATGCAGGGCCCTCGTGACAGATGCAGGCAGTCCCAAACAGAAGCATGGCACACATGCCACGTGGCAGGACCACAGCACCCAAGGCAGTGGGTGCTTCTGCCAGCGATTGCACCCGTCAGGCAGCAACTTCAGAGCCACTGTTGCTGCTCCCCTGGCCTGCTGGGAGCCTGGAAAGAGCTGGCAACTGACTACCTTCTTTTTGTACTCAGACAAAACTTCCAGGCAGAAGAGGATGGATTTAGGAAACTGGACTCGCAACTGGAATCAAAAAGTGGAGAAGCCATGAGGAGTCTGGAAGTTTTGCTATGCCATCTTCTTACTCTCTGCCTTTAACCCTTTAGCAAGAGAAGATGTTTGTGACCGATGGTGCCTGAAGAAGCACGTGCTGGTGAGACCATTTTCCTCCTGGTCTGAGACTTCAGCTGAGAGGCAGCCCTTGCAATGCAGGCAGCTCCTCGGCACCATGCAGCCCAAGTCTTGCATGTGCCAAAATGCTCCCTCAGGAACAGGAGTCCACCCTCGGTTTGATGGCTGTCTCCTCCCCAAGCTCTTGGAAGACTCACGCTCACTGAAGTACAGCCAGGTTTTCCTGGTAACAAGTTACCAGCACCATCAAACTGAAAAGCGGTGAAGTAGTTTACCTGACATTGCTTAGTCAAAATCATTTGCTTTCCTGAGATGCAAGAGGCAACCTAATACAAACAGTGCCCTGCTTGTAACATGTTAATAAATGACAAAGAAAGGTTAAGTAAGAAAGACATCTGGAATTAAATAGAGGGCAGACAACTTTGGCATTAGATTCAATACCTAAAGTGTCTTCACCTGGCACAGATCACAGAGGACATCCCTAATTCTGAGCTTACTCTTTGACCCCGTGTTGACTTTATCCACCGGCAGTGACTTGGGAAAGACAAGAGAGGCATTTTCCATAAGGGAAGGGATCTTACAATGAAGTGAACACAGCTCTCATGATGCTTTTGCTTAGTGCCTGGCTGGCTACCTACCTCCTTTTCGATTTCTGCAAGGGTTTTGATTGTGATGCCCAAGAGATCAACTGGCTGCATCTGACAAGAAAAAAAAAGAAAGAAAAAAAAGAATCAGAAATGTCAAATTTAGGGGTTTTTGTTTTGGTTTTGTTTTGTTTAAAGTCAGCAAATACTCTATCACCAGAGATTTAGAGGCACCAGCTGTAAACACATGCATAATCCTGTTTCTCCATCTACCACAGGAAACAGAAGGTGGGTTAGCTCTAACGCCTTTCTCCCTAAGTGGGGACAGCTGACACTCATCTCAGTGTCACTTTGCACAGGTAGATCTTCAGCCATCTCCCTGCCGCAGGATGGCTGTTAGTGGAATGCACTTTGTAACACCCTATGGATTTCATATGGCCCCCGCACGTAGGTGTGAGACGCACTGGCTGTGGGAAGCCCCGACCAAACTGACCATATGGTGGCAATGGTGTCTAAAGGATCCGAGGGGAGGATTAGCACGACCTAATCTCTCTGCATTTGTCCTCACAGCAGGGACTCCAGCTTTCTGGGAATAAAGGCCCATAAACAACCCTTTCAGAAAGCAATGGTTGTGAAAAACCGTGTCCGGCTGCACACGCAAGTTGTGTCAGCAGGAAGAAGAAAGCACAAAGCAGGAGCAGACGTGAAAAATCAGATAGAGCTGATGGCTCGGTGTTTGCCTTAACAGCTTCTTGTAAATTGATTTTTGAAGAGATATTGTTTTAGGATTGGATAGATTAGGGAACTAATAATGGGATGCTGAGCCTTTGAGCTCTGGATCACCAACTTAAACTAGCACTGGCCCAGTGACGCTGAAAAGTCATTGTGAATTGGTACCCAGGCTTCCATTTTGGTTGAGCAAACGTACCCTGCCCAGGCCGTTGGCGGTACCCTCCGCTGCCACTGCAGAGCTCGGCGCCGAGCAGGCAGGACGCGGTGCCCTCTCGAGCTCACCCCGCTGCAAGGCAGGAGCCATGCCGCTGGCAGCACAGGCACGCCGAGCAGGACTCCGCTTGAACTCGCTTAGAAACGTGCCGTATGTAAAACAACCCAGCCTGTTTTGCCGCTGCACTTGAGACACTTTGACTCGGATAATCTCCCATGCCAGAGGGCAACCCCAGTCCTGCTCCCTGGAACCCAGTCGCAGTCCAACTGCGGCATCATTAGGACACAGCTGCCTCCGCCAACTTTCCAGGCTGGGACTGGTAAACGTAAAGGCACAGCCTCCCCACCAAACTGGATTTTGGCCAGCACAGCCACGGCAATCCTACCACCCCCAGTCAGCTACAGCCACTCGTGCTCCACCTGCAAAACCACCAGAGCCTGCTAAGACTGAGTAGCTCTGGAAGACCCCTGCCCACATGCCGCTGCCCGGCTCTGCCTGCACAGGGCATGGAGCCGCAGGAGCCTCGCAGCAGCTGCCAGTGCTGGAGCGCACCATGCCATTACCATTGCCTTGAACTTCTGGGGTGCAAAAGGAAAGTCATAAAGCCAACTGCACTGCGCCATCTCCACAGCAGTTTAAATCTAGGAGAGCTGTACATTTGCAGCTTTCTTTACAATCTATGCTAAGAAATTAGAAATGCTTCCAGCACCAGAGAGTCCCACCGCCATTCCTATTTCTGATGGTGATAAACCTTCAACTCCCAGGACAATTCAGTTTTAGAAGTGATCTGGCAAAAGCCATTCCCACCCTATTGGAAAATATTGTGAAGCGCAACCTTGGGTCATCTCAAGCACTGGGTATATATTAGGCCCCACAACAGAAAAGCTCCCAGAGGCAGGTAATTTGCGTTGATGCTTTGTGATCACTCTCCATGAAAAGATTAATTTCAGACATTGGGAGAACAATGAAGGCAACTTACCCCTTCAGGAGCACAGGCAAACTTCTCAGAAATCATAAAAGGCACTCCATCCATTGCTGAAAGGGACAAAACGAGCAGACACGTCACATTTCCAGCTGACTTCTCACATGCAACTTCACACATTCCCAGTGACAGATCAAGTATTCATGGCATTGACACATGATTGATAGCTCATAGAAGTTATTGCCAGCCTTTTCCTCCCTCTAACCTGCCAGTGGTTTCTCTCTGTTCGAGACACAGCTGGGTTAGTCCCTACCAAATCAGGAATTCAATGAACCCTCCCTGCTCTATCCAAACACAATTTCATGGTCTCAATTTTGAGTCTTCCAATTTGGTTCAGCTGCCAAAACAGGACAGTATTTGAAACTGAAAACAAATACAAACAGTTTAAGAGGACAGACATCCATTTACCACTACCATGCAGAACCATCTGAGCAAACTCGGTGGTGTCTGAGCAAGAGGCTAAGGAACATACCTGGTCCAGGTGACTTGTATCTCTCCAAAGCCATAAGTACTACTACCTGGGCAGAATGAAAACAAACACGTGGGGCCAAGTACCCTCCCTGGCCTGGCTGCCACTGCAAACTCAACAGTGGGCAACGGAGCTCAAACACTTGCAAACCACATCTGGAGGACGGAAACCAGTGGAGTATGAGGACAGACACAAGGACGTGACAGCACACGCCACAGCCTCGTGTCACTGGGCCAAGCTCTGTAGCACAACCTAAATGATACTAAGAGGATTGTTTGCCTTTATATTGCCTTGTGTGTTCTTCTTAGATAGTGCAGTGATGTTCGGCGTTTCTGTCTTGCTATCACCACCTCGAAAACTTCACAGAAAGCCTCCCACAAGACACGTCAGTATAAGGGAGACACTTATTTTTAAAACATTTAACTCAGCAATTTCCACACAAGACTGAAAAGGGCACATTTCTAAGGCAGACTGCAACCCCAAATACACCTGCTTTATTTCAGTTACACCTTTAACATTTTAAGTCTTTAAATTTCAGCTCTGAAAGAAATAAAAACTTCAAACTAGAGCAAATTTAAGCCCTGAAATGCCCTCAAGTAATCCTCAAATAGGGTTTTCTTTCACAAAGCATCTGCACCCATGAACCCAGCATTTTTCTGCTTGATGTTTGTAACTTCCATCAGCACCAGTGACTTACCATGTTAGTGATTTAACACAGGTTATTTAAGAATACTTAGCATTTTACATTTGCTTTGTATATTTTGGACGTAAAAAACCCCTCCACTGGAGTAATTTCATTATCAAAGGTGCTATATGGCAGCCACAGCACTACATGAAACAAAAGGAAACAGATGAAAAGCAGCATCACCAAATCCGGGAAATTTTGAACCTGAAAGACCATCTGCATTTGTTATCCCGACAGAAACCTGCTTTGATCAGTCACACGCCGGCTTTTGTAAAGTAATTTAAAGAATAAGCCGTGATCAGCGTGCACGTTCCCCCAGCAGCGCCCGCCGGACTGCCTCCATCCGTCCTTCGGTCCTTGCGCACTCCAGCCCTCCCAGAGCTCAAAACTGCAGAGCAAAGCAGCAGATGAAAGCAGGGTGTGCCAAAGGCTCAGCAGCGCAATTAGCACTCTCCTAAACAAACGAGCTTCAACAGAGCTGTAATTAAGCAGGCCTGTAATTAAGTATATGCCCTTTATCATAACGATCATGCTTAAAAATGGCATGATGCATGGAAGTGTGTTATTAATGCTGCACTCCCAAAGCGCAGGAGCGTGCACAGGAGCTGGCGTGTCAGGCCTGTCACTAGGCTGCTGGTAAAATACATTAAAGGGAGAAATCGGAAAACAACACGCTCATTCAACAGCTCTTTTCACAGCCAGGCACTAGAAGTCATGAGGATTTAAATACCCACCAATTCAGGAAACTTTACGGAAATAAAGCACGAGGCTGTCACAGCCAGCCGCCTCCCCCAGCGCTGGGAGGGCGGCAGCCTTCGCCCCATGGCTCGGCTGGGCTCTGGGAGCTGTTTGGGCACATAAGGGGCTGCAGGCAGACGGTGGAGACCCCCTGAGACACGTGGGGAGCGTCTGCTCGTCCCTCGTCTCTGCTTCCAGGCTGAACGATGGCTCCGGACAAAGCAAACGCTTCGGAGGAAGGACACTGCCGCGTCCCCCACCTTGCCCTCAGAGGTGCTGCCCGCAGTCCCACAGCACTGGCCACAGGAAAAGAGAGATTCAAAGCTACTGCTGCCAAAGAAGGCTTTTTTCACATTGACGAGGACTTCAAGGGTGAGGCACCCAACTTCCTTTTAGGAATGTAAATCCAAATCCAAGAAGATTAACAAATGCAGCGGCACTTTGCTCCAGCACAACAATGAACCATCTCACGTTAATGTTAGCTTTTGTATCTTGTGGACAAGACCGTGTCACACAAAGTGTAGAGCATGCTTCGCACGGGTGCCATGCACCATGCTGCTTTGAACAAAACCCCAGCTGCAGCACTGCATTTTTGCAGTGATTTTACCGGGGAGGCTCAGCGCTGCACTGCACCCCCCTGCCCACTGCACAGCCCCTTGCCGCGACAAGGCTGAGCGCTCTCCTGAGGCCAGGCTGCAGCACCGGTCCCTGCCGGCACTCTGCAGGGCTCTACTGGCAGGTAGCCCTGACTCCATCACCGCTGGTTTGGCAGCGTGTGTGCGTGCCCAGCCCCGGCAGATGCCTCTCCTGGCACAGGGCCCACCTCTCTGTGTTTCCCAGGTGGAGCATGGCCATGCAGCACGAGCAGCGATGCTGCTGTGATGAGGCTGCACACGTGCAAGCTTACACTCAGAGCTTGTGTGGGTTGAGCCCTTAAAAGCATTCCCCCACCGCACACCAGCTCACCGAGACTCACAGAAGAGGGAAAGAGGTAACTGCAGGAGGCGATCTCCAAGGCCAGGCATCTTCAGCAACAGGCAGGAGGAAAGAGCTCCCATCACTGCACCACAGTCTGCTGAGGTGGCCAGCACTGGGGTCTGGGCACGGGTGCCATCACTTCCACTGTGCACCGCAAGACAGTACGCAACTGCTGTTTACAGCAGCCAGTTAATTTCATAATAAAATTAAATGAAATCAGAACTGTAGGAGGCTTTTAATTCCATGTCCCTTGTTCTGATGTTGTGCTGTAAATAAACATCAGCAGCAGACTCTATGATTCTTCCTTTTTTCCTTTTTTTTTAATCCCCTGTTGCTTTTGAAGCATTCCTGGCAGTCTCTGATGAGCAGAACACTGTGCTGAGATTCTGCCCAGTGTTACCATTTCCATGGGCAGTGTCAAGACTTGCCAGCCAAGCTTTGGCCTAGAGCTGCAGTTCTAGTTTTAGTCTGGCCAAGAGCTATTCAACACTCCTTGATGTCAATTTGCACCATGTTCGAGACCAACAGACGGTAACATAAAGGGATAAAAGGAATTGGTGCTGGTGAATGATAAAGTACAGCTCTTTCCAAAGGCAACATATACTGATTCAGAACAAAATAGGTGGGCAAGGTCCCATTTTTACAGCATTACCACCAGTAGCATTACTCATACCAGCACTTGACTAAGCTCACGCGTTGACCCACGTAGGTTTTAACATCTTTAAAAGGTTGTGACTTTAAAATATTTTTAAAGACCTATAAAACGTTTGCACCTTGTACGTTTCACTGAAAGCCTCCTTGCACAGGTAGGCAAAGCTGCTCTTGCCCTGCACTGCTCTGAGAGGGGCCAGCAGCAGGGCCAGCAGGACCACCACCTCCACCGGCGCCTCCCGAGGCAGCCGCAGCCCTCCGGTGGTCGCGGCTCCTGGACCCACGCGAGGAATCACCACTCACCCGCCGGGAGGACACCCACAGCGCCGGGGCCCAGCTGAATCCAGGAGGCAGCAGGTTCTCCCCGTGCAACTACACCCACAGCATCTCCAACAGGTTAGGGAGGTGCCTGCGCTTTTCTCCCTCAAAATGGAACAAAATAAAAAGGGATTTCAGAAAGAAAAATGTTTTCAATGGCTGTTTGCTGTCTCCCAGGAGCAGCTCCTCCCTGAGGGTCACATCCAATTAGCTCAGTCACTGCAACTAGATAAAAGAGTTGAAAGGAGCCAGCGGCCAGAACTGCGCTCCTAAAACCAAGCCCCGAAGGATGGCGTCCCCATGAATCCCCGATGGCAGCTGGGAGGAGGCCGGACCCCTCCAGTGAGGGGCACCTGAAAGGGGACCGGAGCCATCCCTTTCATCAGTGCAGGACCACTGAAAAGCAAGACCAACTTTTAACCAATGGCTACTCCTTCATTATAAATCACTAAGACTTATTCTCAGCCTTTAAAGGGCAGGCCACAAAACAATACAACTTGTTAGCTTGCTTAGAAATTCTCTCTTTAATCTGAAAAAGTACTGTCACCCTCCTCTAAGCACACGATAGATGCTGCCTTCCATGCTGCAGACTCCAGCTAAATCTCAGTTGTCAAATTAGTAATTCATCTTTCTTGAATAACTATATTTTTAGCAAAGCTACCAGATTTAAATAATCAGACCTGCCAATGCTACCCTAATTTAAACATGCTGACGAACTTTCACAGGCAGCATCAGCTAACATAATGAGTTTCTGGATGACAAAGAACTTCAGACCATAGTTCTCTACACTACCCAGTGTAATAAGCACTTGTTCTTTTCTACAATGCGCACATAAAAGAGGAATCTAAATAATAATTGCTGTAATTATCTTGAAAAATATGTAGTGATTAATGGTGATTATGAAAATCTGTATAATTGTTCATTGAAATCTCCAATGATCAGATGCTTTCTTGAAACAGCCGTTAATGAAGAACTTAGGAACACAAAAAGCATCAAAACTCAAGCCAAGCTCCTGACCGTTTGAAGCATGTGAGGATGCGATTGCACACATGCCTGGCTCAGCTTTCACCCCTCCCATGAACCCTCTGCAAGAGGTTCTAAGATGTCCATGATGTGATGCATATGTCATTGTGGTTCAAAGCACGAAGTTCAACCTGTTATTTATGCAAATAATTAATTACTCTTGTATCCAACTAGCAGTTTGTCATGACACA